TACGGGCCCGTTCGTTTGAGGCAGTATGACACCAGTAATTGTTCCAGTTAATGAAAGCTTATATAAATTGACTAATGATTCCAGCCAGAATTCTTCCTGACGATCACTCCGGAGAAAGCAAACGGGTCCTAAGGCAAATTGGCCCCCCCTAAGAATTGCTCCTAGCTCCGCCACTGCAGAGGTGGTGGTCCTGCCGTCCGAGGTGGCCAAGCACAAGATTCTGGCCGACCGCCCGGACGTGCAGGTGGACGTTCTGGCCTACGGCACCTTCGTGACCACTGAATTCAACGACAAGCGCGTCCGCGTCTACTTCGACATAGCCGGCAACGTGAAAGGGGTCCCCAAGATCGGCTAGGGACTATACTTTTAATTTCTTACTACTTTGATTCCAATAATAAATACATAAATAAAAGTCCTCGTCACTGACTGCCTTGCTCGAATCAAACAAACCGATCGACGGTGATTTCAGTTGTATGTGACGAGCGGATTGTAATGGTTTCTTAGTTTTTAAGTTATTTCTGTCGCAAAGGATGGCTATATATGTACATGCCTCGATCATGCAGAGGTTGAAATATAAAACTACTTTGAAGATGTATGTACTAAAATAATGCTATTTATATTATTTACTGTTATATACAGTCATCTTTTTTTGACTTTGAAGATGCAGCTCGATCTACAACCTTTACAATACTAGTATAAGATAACAGAGTCCAAGTAATAAGGAAAAAAAACTAACATGTTTCTTTTTTCAGTACACTTTTTACCAAACTGAACCTGATGAGTAGCATCCTCCATTTGAATTCTGAAATATTGCTTTTTATATGTGAAAAACTACATCTTTTATAAACTACATCTTTTATACTGAACCTGATGAGGTTGAAATAATATAAAACTACATCTAAAATAATGCTTTTTATATTGTTATTTACTGTTATACATAGTCATCTTTTGACTCTGAAGATGCCACTATGTAAAAAAAACACACAACAGACGCGGGTTAACGCACATCATAAATGCGGTTTTATGCACATCACAGCTTTATTTTTATATGTATTTAAATGTTCATTCATCTGAGTTTTAGCATTTAGCATACTCCCTCGTTCTGCACTAAATGAAAGGCAAAGGCCCTGCTCGCTTGTCTTATAATCCGTATTTTTCGGCTTGTCTTTTCAGTCGGAACAGTGTTTCACCTTGTTTTTTCAGCGAATCGAACGGGGCCAAAGGAGTTACTAGTTTGTTCTAAGTTAGTTATATATTAAAGTTTTGCTAATATTTTAAAGAAGACATCATCAAAGTTTTAAAATATGTAAATATATTTCATAGTGTATGAATGATGCGAGTAGAATGTTATGAATATTATTCTTTTCTCTATGAAATTGATAAAAACTTAGCATAGTTTCACTTATGATGAATTTGGATTCCTTATATTTTAAGAAGACATGGAGTATTTTTTGTAGAACGTGACTATCCTGTGTGCTCTCGTGTGAACAGAGCATCAGAACGACCCTACATGAAAGCTTCTAGACAAACAATACTTTCAAAGATTTTAGTATCTCACTCCGAAATAACTGTGAACTCAACGATTTTATTATTTTCTACTAGATCTATTAGACAAAATATCTTCCAATTAGATCTATGATTAGGCAAAATATCTTGCAAGTAATACTAACATATTAATTAACGTGACACCTTAAGGTGTTGCATACTAACGTGATTGATGCTGTACATGACAAACTTGAAAAAAAAAATCCACGCGATTGGAGCACGCCTAATTAATCCCCTGACTCCTCACTGCAGCCTGCCTTTTGTTTATATGTTCCGCGCCGATGCAAACTGCTACAACTTGACACGCATGCATGCCGTGGGCACAGAGTTGGTCGTGGTCCAAGGCCGGCGTATTCGACACCCACAATGCAAGGAGCTACTAGCAGAAGAAGGTCATGGTCTTGATCAAAAAAAAAAGAAGAAGAAGAAGAAGAAGGTCATGGTCATTACCCGGAGAAAGCTAGCGAGAGAGCGACACCAAATGCGCAAATGCCAGCTTGAAATGAACCCAAATAAATGACGCAAATGAAACCAAATAAATCGGTTCGTACAAGGCCCCATCGATCATCTACCTGAAAAAGGCAAACCATCCCTCTCTCTCCCTCTCTCTCTGTTGGTTGTTGGACCGCCGCGCTAGCTAGTCGAATCAGCGGCGGCCATGAGCGATGACAGCAAGAAGTCGTGACCGGAGGTGGAGGGCCTGCCGTCCGAGGCGGCGAAGCAGAAGATTCTGGCCGACCGCCCGGACGTGCAGGTGGTCGTTCTGCCCGACGGCTCCTACGTGACCACTGATTTCAACGACAAGCGTGTCCGAGTCTTCGTCGACAAGGCCGGCAACGTCGCCAAGGTCCCAAGATCGGCTAGAGGGCCAATAATTTTAATTTCTTCCGTTGTTTCCAACAATAAATGAATACGTCAAAATCCTCATCCCAGACTTCCTTTGCCTTGCTCGAATCAAACAAACCGACGTCGATTTCAGTTGTATGTGACGAGGAGCTAGCGGCCCGGATTGTAATGTTTTGTTAGTTTTTGTGTTACATGTGTCGTAATGGATGGCTATATGTACATGCCTCGATCATGCAGGGGTTGAAACTACATTTAAAATAATGTTTTTTTATATTGTTTATTACTGTTATATTTAGTCATCTTTTGACTTTGAAGATACAGCTCTACAACCGTGACAATACTAATAAGATAACAGAGTCCAAGTAATAATACGGATAAAATAAAATGTTTTTTTTTTGTTCAGGACACTCTCCCAAACTGAACCCGATGAGCAGCATAAAATCCTACTGAATGAGTATACTCGGTGTATGTTGTAAGATCAGTCCAATGAAAATTATACGAGCACACTATTGCTTAGATCACCTCCAGTGGAGTAACATGTTCACCTAAGTAATAAGTCCAAGACTTGCTCATGCTTTTTTGATCCATCAGCTAAAGTTTAGCCCCAAATCGGATGTTTGGATGTCAATTAGGGGATTAAACTTGAGCTAATTATAAAACTAATTGCATAAGACTTTACTAATTCGCGAGACGAATCTATTAAACCTAATTAGTTCATTATTAGCATATGTTGGGTAAAATATGGACTAATTAGGCTTAATACATTTGTATCGTGAATTAGTCTTCATTTATGTAATTAATTTTATAATTAGTCTAAATTTAATACTCCTAATTAGTATAAACATCCGATGTGACAGAGACTAAATTTTGGCCCTGAGGATCCAAACGCCCCCGTTCTACTACCAAATATGACACCACTTGTTGAGTTGTAAGAGAGCGTGGCGGTCCATAGCAATTTTCCTGAAGTGATTTTGTCACTCTCAATCATTCTCCATGTTTTTGAGGCGCCGCCTAATCGTCGCCTAGGCGCCAAGGCGTGCTCGAGGGCCTGGGCGTCCTCGCCACGACCTCAGCCTGTATGGCGTCCACCTCAGCAGATTAGGCATCGCCTAGGCACGAATGGCGTCGGGCGGACGCCTAGAGCTCTCCAGCGGACGCCATAATCTAATTCGCAGGGGAGGGCGCGAAATCGAGTGCGTGTCCGCGGGAAATCGGACGCGGCGCGGGGAAGGGGGCGAAAATGACCGCTGCGCGGGGAAGGGCCCGAAAATGACCGCGGCCCGCGGTAAATCGACCGCGCGGGCGCGGGAATTGCGACCTACGCGCGGGAAATCGACCGCCTGAGCCATTACCGCAAGGGGGGCGAGGGGAGACTGGGAGAGAAAGAGAGAAGGCGGCGGGCGGACCTCCTGCTCCGCTTCGCTGCTCCTCCGCTCGCCAGCTCGAGTCCACCGGCCGGCCTCCCCTTCCGAGAAGAAGCTGCCCAGGGCGAGGGGAGACCGGGAGAGAAAGAGAGAAGGCGGCGGGCGGACCTCCTGCTCCGCTTCGCTGCTCCTCCGCTCGCCAGCTCGAGTCCACCGGCCGGCCTCCACCGAGAAGAAGTTGCCTCCGCTCGCCAGCTCGAGCCCCCTCCAAATTGCCTCCGCCTCATGCAATGCACCGCCACTGGTATATGCCCCCCTACTCGCTTCTGTGAATATAGTAATGCCTCGTATGCCTGCTGCTCTTTTTTGATCTAAATATTGTATGCCTCGTTCTCGTGCTCGCTATTGACCCTCAATCGAATATTGTATGCTCATGCTTTGGATGCCTGTCCCCTGCCTCCTCCCTTCTCTAATATTTATTCTCACTCTCGCTATCTCTGCTCTGCTTTTGCTTTGATGCTTGCTTTTTATATTATATGGGTACTCACATATACAAATGCTCGCTTGTGCTTGGGGCTGTCACACACCTCACACAACACAAAGCATGATCTTTCTTTGATCCCAAGATCGATCCAAAGAAGCAACATGGCAAGCACAGTTGAAGTACCCGAGTATGATCCCAAGACCGATCCAAAGAAAAAGCAAAGTCCAATGATCTAGGCTGAAAATATGGCTACTAGCAGGACCCCTGCTAGGAGAGACTGGGTGACATGTATCCTATGTGGACATGAGGGTTCAGGGAGGCATAAAGAGGTTCAAGCAACATTTGGTCGGGTGGATATGGAGATATTATCCTTTGTCCAAAAGTTAGCACCGAAATCGAGAAAAGAGATGGAAGCTTACTTGCAAAAGAAGAGAAGAAGGCCTTTGTACTTGGATGGTATTGAGAGGATGGGGAACCGAAGATGAAATTGTGGATGTAGCAAATTGCAGATGTACAAGCAAAGACAGCAGAAATAAATGCATGCTATCTTCCAATTCAAGGCTTCAACAGCTAGCAGTGTCAATTCTACACCAAAGACACCAAAGACCAATGCAACAAAGTCAGTTGTTGGTATGCTTAGAAGAACACCTGAACAGATAGTAGATCAAAGAAGTGCAAAGGACTTTTAGCCCACCATTGAGTCCAGCACAAAGACTAAGGAGGAGAAGCAATATGTGGATATGCAATGGGCACTGTGGTTCATGGAGTGTGGTGTAGCCTTTAATGTAGCAAATTCAAGGCAATTTGAAATTGCTTGTGAGGCAACAGCCCAATATGGTTTAGGGTACAAGCCTCCAACTAACCAGCAGCTTGGTGACCCTTTGCTCCAAGAATGTGTTAAGGTGACAAGTGACATGAGAAAGGACCATGAGCAGGCCTGGAAGCAATATGGTTGTACACTAATGTCGATGGATGGACTGATATGAGAGGGCGCCACCGATTAATTTTCTTGTGAACAGCCACGAGGGAACGTACTTTTCGGAGTCAGTTGATGCATCAAGTGAAGTTCATAGTGCAACAATGCTAGCTGATTTGTTACAGGAGAAGATTGAGGATATTGGAAGGGACAATGTTGTTCAAGTTGTGACCGACAATGGCGCTAACTATAAGGCTGCTGGTAAGATCTTGATGGATAGGATTCCCACACTATTTTGGAGTCCTTGTGCTGCACATTGCTTGGATCTGATGTTGGAAGAAATTGAGAACTTGAAGGAATTCAAGAAACCTATTGCACGTGCTAAGCGTGTCACCAACTTCATTTATAGGCATGGAAGGCTTCTTAGTGCAATGAGGGCTCAAACAGGTGGGACTGATCTTGTTAGGACAGCAAAGACTCGATTTGCCACATCATTTCTGACATTGAAGAGTTTATACAAGAACAAGGATGCCTTGAAGAGCTTGTTTGTTAGTGAAGCATGGACTGGGAACAACTTGTGTACAACTGCAGCAAGTCAACAAGTGCAAGACATTGTGCTATCTACTGAGTTTTAGAACTCAGTAGAAGATTGCCTAAGAGCTTCAGTCCCACTCTTAATTGTTTTGAGGGCTGTTGATGGTGATGAGAAGCCTGCAATGCCAGAGGTATGGGCTCTAATGAATCATGCAAAAGAGAGGATAAAGCAAAGCTTCAATATACCAACCAAGGATGGCCTACTCAAGAAGATCATGGAAATTATTGAGAGGCGTTGGGTGAAACAAATGGACCATCCATTGTATGGGGCTGCACTATATTTGAACCCGGGAAAAAATTTTCCTCTGATAAAAGCTAATGATGATGTCACTGTTGGGCAGCTAAGAGGTTGTTTTATTGAAGTGCTTGGAAGAATGATACCAGATGTGGAAACACAAATGAAGATCAATAGGCAGGCCATTGAGTATGAAGAGCAACGTGAAGAAGCCTTCTCAAACAAAATGGCAAAGGAAAGCTATGACAAAATGAATCCTCGTAAGTGCTTGTTTATCTCAACATTTGTAAATTTCAGCAACTTAATTGCATTCCAAACACCTAATATGTGTTGTCCTTTTCATCCAGCTTGATTGGTGGCGTTCTTATGGTGGCGAGCCATTGAACTACAAAGACTTGATAAGCGTATAGTTAGTCTTTGTGCTTCATCCTCGTGGATGTGAGAGATGTTGGAGTACCTTCACCATGTGAGTATTCTTGTGACTAACAGTTTATATTTAGATGCATACAATCTAATTTTTTGTTTTGCTTCCCATCTGATTTTTTTGTAGATGCATACAAAGAAAAGAATAGGCTGCTACACAAGAGATTGAATGATATTGTCTTTGTTTCATACAATCGCAAGATGAGAACAAGGTTTCACTTAGGCGTGAGAAGGCGGGCAAAATATGACCCCTTGGTCATTGAGGAGTTCGATTGGGACAATGAATGGGCTGATTCATTGCATGTGCCTGTTTCGGTGCTCGAGGGTCTGATGTTTGTTGATGACCTCACATGGCAAAGCATGTTGATGAAGCCATCGGTGCATCACAAGCGCTGCAGGTCGTAACCTTCCTAGAAGAGCTGATGCTCCTGTTCAAGATTATAGACGCCCAGAAATGTTCCTGCTGCTGCTGCTTCTTTGAAGATGGCGAAGAGGAAGACGAAGTTGAAGACCCACATGATGATGCAGAAGTGAGCGAGTGTGAAGAAGCTGACAATGTTCCTGCTACTAATCAAGACGACGCTGCTGATCTTGATGAGTTTGATGATGGATTTTGAGTGCTGAAACAGAGATTTGCACTCAGCCCTTTTGTGTCCTACACCCTTGTCCTGCACTCATGTTGTATGGCTTTGGTGTAGTTGACTAGTAATTAGAATGCTTTAGAGTCTAGTACTTCAGACTTATTTTCTAAGTTTGTGGACTATTAGAGACAAACTATGATATCATTTGTCATGCTCATGCATGAACTAATGCACTAAGCCACTAATGCTTGCTAATTTGTTGTATTGCCTCTTGTGTATTGTTTCTTATTTAATTCTCAGCGGCTGGTAACAATGTAACATGTTCATTTACATTTCTTCATGTCATAGATTGCTGAATTTTGGAATTGTCATGTAGTTTGCTTCAAGGGGGATGGATGCTACATGGGAGAAGAGCTTTTGGAAAGGGAAGAAAGGAACCTGGGCTCCAGAATTGGGAACAAACCAGGTATGTATGTGCTGCACTTACTATATAAAACTCTAGCTTACAGCGCCTTACAACGTGTGTATGGCGTCGCCTAGGCGTCCGCCATAAACGTCTAGGCGTTGTGAAGGGGGTCGGGGGCGCGGCGCCTCAAAAACATTGATCATTCTATTCAATTTCTCAGATGGGCTTATATATGGTTAAGTGTGCGCATGTGTTTAGCCCTTTATACTCATGTTTTCAAGAAAGATAAAAAAACATTATATTAAAAAATTACCATATTTATTATTACATTACAAAATAAAAAATTGAAGCTTTTATCTTTGGACGTTAGGATATTTTTACCTTTACAAATATCTTTATAAAATTTCATGAATAGAACTGACTTGTTTGATGATAAATGAAAAGGAAAAATACTACGAAATTTATAAAATTGAAAAGCCTTTTTTACTTTAAATTTCATAGCCAGTTAGCCAGATTTACATAAAGTTTTTTGGTTTGCAAAAAAATAGTTTCACAGGATACACGGCTCTACTCTACCTATTAAGTTTCATCCAAAAGCAAACACATACAAGAAACAAAATTAAGTGATTTGTGCTGTGACGATGATTGAGTGTGGTTACCCTCTCCGGCGGCGAGGTTGGAGTAGAGGTCGACGATGTTGGGGCATCCTCGGAGGCAGGCCGGGGAGCAAACCGTGCCGGCGACGCGCGGGTCGAGGAGGGAATCGGAGGAGATGCCGACGGTAGCGCGGTCGACGCCGCACGCGCGCACGCAGCCGTCGGTCTCCACCAGCCCCGACAGCCGGCCGTCCTCGACCACCACCTCCGACGTCCGGCACTGGTACTCCGTCGGCCGCCCCGATCAGTGCGTGTTCTCCAGCACGCACCGCCGCGACGTGGACGACACGGCGAACGCGCACAGCTCCGCCGTCAGCTGCTCGCACACCACCCTCGCCCCTGTCAGGAAATCGTGCAAACAGCCATCGTCAGAACACACAGGCCGTGCTTTGTATATGCTACAATACGTTATACCACCATGGTTACCGTACCAAGTGCAGAGGAGAGAAGAAGGGACAGGGAGAAGACGAAAGCTGGAAGCTGTCCGTGGAGGACGGAAGCCATGGATAGATGCTGAATTGCTGATGCTGCTGGACTTAAGCTTAAGACCGATGTCTTGTGCTGGAGTTAACGATGGAAAGCTTAGACGCTTAGACAAGTATTATAAGCAGACTAGAAGGGGTTTTTAAACTGTGCCGTGTTTAAGACTGAGTCAAACTGGTTGTCGTCTGTCGTTTCTTTTCTTCATTCTTTGATTTTTTTCCTTTTTCTATAGATGTAAAAACGATATTTCCGGTTGAAACTGAAAGTGCAATGATATATTTAATCTGGTCTTTTTTTCACTTTCTGATGTTTAGAATCAGTTAAGGTCACATATACTTTGTCTGTTCTAAATTATCAATCGTACTTACTTTTATTGATACATAGTTTTTACCAAATATTTAAACATAACGTATATATCTAATACATAGTAAAAGTTATTAGTATGTACTCCCTCGGTCCCTGAATAAATAGATTTCAAGAGTTATTTTAGTCAAACTTTTTAAACTTTAACCGAATTTTTAGAAAAATAACATTAACATTTATGATATTAAACTAGTATCATTAGATGCATCATAGAATATATTTTTTATAATATGTTCATTTTATGATATAGATGTTGTTACTTTTTTCTATAAAGTTAGTTAAACTTAAAAAAGTTTGACTGGCACGGATTCTAGGAATGAATTATTTAGGGACAGAGGGAATATATGAGAGTGACTTAGACTTTGGAATAGAGGGAGTAGTTATTAAACATAGAGGGAACCAAGATACCATGTCTATGCACGGATTCAAATAGTGTCCTTGATGAAAGCTACTCCTCTATTCTAAATTATAATATATATCTAGACATAGTGTATATCTAAATATACAATAAAGAACCTAGTAAAACCAAAACGATTTGAAGTTTGGAAGGGAGGAAATAGATTAGGAGAAGTGCCACTTAGCTTTATAGCATCATAATGAGCTGATACGGTCAATAGATATATCAAAGTAAAGTTGAACGTTCAATTCATTGAGAATAGGAAGCTTTCTCTCCCAAATGAGATGGCGCCTAATTAAGTTGATCAACGGCGTGTTCCACGATTAGATGTACAGGGCGCAGTTGACGTCAACAGTGGCAGACAAACAAGCATTCAAGACTAGGCGCAACGAGTGGCGTAGAGAAGGCCGTAATGAACGGGGCAGGTTTTTGGTCAGGGCAGGAAATTAGCTGGCAACTTAGCACCAATGCATTTTGCTTTCATGTTACTGTCTCGCTCACTTCCGTTCCGACTAGCCTCCCGATGTGAAAATATGACCAACGGTTTTACCCTTTTCTTCTCCTTCAAACAAGGAGAATCCCTAATTCAGATTGACCAGTAAACTGGTCCACTCTTGCATGTTTTCCACAAAACACAAAAGTTTGGTGGAAAGTGGATGTTGTCCACGCGCCTTTGCTTTCGACCTTTTTAATACATATGTTTTAATTTGAAATTTAGACAATAGGGGAGTCAAAAGCTTTTAGGAGCCCAGACGATCTTTCATTATGCAAAATTTTTAGCTAGTAAATTATAGAGTTCTTTGATATAAAGAAAATTTTCTTTTGAACTTTGGCGATGAGCCCGGCCTCCCACCCAGGGTGGCTGGGCAGTGGTGGCTCTGCCACTGAGTTTAGATATGAATATAAATATTATTGAATGTAAATGCAAAACCGATATCTCGAATTCACGTTTGGATAGCTACTTGATTTTGAAGATAACAAGAAGTTGCTTAGTTTTGTTTTTGACACTAGGGCTTCCAATTCTTGCTCAACCAAAATCATGGTAAGCCAAAACTTAGCCTTACCAAAGTTAGGGTAAAATATATAGGTGTACAATTGGTTGAGTGCCATAACAATGGTAGAAAGCACTTTTTTCTCTTATGCAATTTAAGAAGTTTCTAAAAACTAGTCAAAACTTTAGCTATAATCATTGGAGTGCCAATTCTTCGGCAATGAATGATGACTAAAAATTTTGGCTTGCCATGATTTTGGTTAGGCAAAACTTGGAAGCCAACCAAGCAAGCTCTAGATGTTTGAAAGTAGTGTCTTGACTTGTAATCTATTGCTTGAAACTTAACAATCAGTTCTTATTGTATAGCGAGGTGAAGTACATATAGAAGGACAACGCTTTATTTTTTTAAAGATGGCAACTCTTTCTGATGAAGTACATTCACAATTTTCTTACTACTTCTTGAATAAGTCTAAGTGAGTTGGTTGATCCTTGCTAGTCTGGCATGGAGGTGAAAAAGGCTAATTGAACTGGGTTGTCCTGGTCTCTCAATATATTGTGATACTGTGATACATTACCTTGCTTGCTACGAAGCAAGCAGACATTCTCCCTGTAAGCATAATTGAAGTAGATATGATGCATAATTCCTGAAGTCTGAAGCTAGGTAAATATAACTTAACCACTAAACACAGTGCTGGCAAAGGATTTGAAGCATCAAAAAGTGGGGTCAAGATTAAAGAAAAAAACTAGGAGATGAACTTAACTTACGGTCCGTTTGGTTCGCAGCCGGTGCATGCCACGCTAGAGCTGTGACGGCGCCAAACTTGCGGCGCCAATTTCGTTCGCCGCACTTGCGGCATGTTTTGGCAGCAAAAATGCACTGGCACGCGATGGCGAGGCCGCGGAATGCCGCAACTGCCGCAGCAAACCAAACGCACGCCAAACTTGCGGCGCGGAAGGTGCGGCGCGGTGTGGCAAAGTTTGGGTGCAAACCAAACGGACCCTTATTTTGACTAAATCTAAGATGTGAAAATACATACGTGATATTTAACAGCCACCAAGTGTAAATAAACTGAAACTTTGGGATGCAAATTAGAGAAGGACTACAGTAATCAAATTGTCAATGGAACATTAAGGTTCCTATGGTCGCTAATTGCTCAAGTAAAACAGGTTTAGGAAAAAAAAAGAACTTGTTCAGTGCAAATCAATGCTAAAGGGTGGTTATGTTAATTGTATCAGCAATAATATGCATCAGAGGCTACTCAATTAACCTATCAGAATTCATTAACACATCGTAGCCCTCACCTTCTACCTGCAATAACGATTTAACTGTATCCAATGAATATATATTCAATTCCAGCTAGTATAATTTTTCCATTTAATGTGTCCCCAACAAATTGCAATTTCTACATATAAACTTAACATGCCTCCTGCAGGGTATTCTTTAATCTTTACTCCCTTCGTTTTTAATTATATGACATTTTGATATTTCTAAATATATAGTTCTTACTATATATCTAGACATAACTTGTATTTAGATACGCAACAAAAGCTATGAATTTAAAAAAGCCAAAACGGTCTAGCAAGGTAACTTATATCTCGGATTGTATACCTGGTATATTAGGACGGTCCAGCCTCCAGCTATAATTCTGTTGACCTCCTAGGCCGCTCGCCAGAAAAACGTCGTTTATATGGTCAAACTCTCCTACCTTAACTATAATGATGCACAAATATTTTACGTATTCAATAAAAAAACCAAAATATCTTATAATTTGAAACGGAAAGAGCATGGACGTGTTTGGGTTAATCTGATCATGATTTTCTTACAAGATGCGGTCTAAAAATCATCAGCGAAGAATATGTTCGACAATCTTGATTATTATAGCAATCGTGAGTGTAAAATGATATTTATGCCCTTCTTCAAATCACTCGCCATTTCCTCTTCATCGCCTATCTTCTCGCCGCTGCTGTGCAGATGCTAGGGAGGCGCCTCCATCCTCGGACCGAACGGAGGCGGGGAGCGGATGGGGAGCTACGCCTCCCTCGAGCCCACCTCCGACCAAGCGAACTGGGCGAGGCGAGGAAGCGGACGGGAGTGCTGATCTTCTCACCGCTGTGCAGATGCAAGGGAGCGCCTCCATCCTCCGACCGAGCGGAGGCAGGGAGCGAACGGGAGCGAGTCGACGCCATGAGCTCCTACGCCTCCCTCGACGACGCGTCTGACCGAGCGAACTGGGCGCCTCCGCAGCGCAAGGTAGCGGACGGGCGAGTGCGGAGGACTGAAGGGGCAGTCAGGGGAGCGAAGCCAAGGGCAACAAACGAAAAAATCCTCACAGTGGACAAAATGCAAGTGGGAGGTCCTAGTACAGAAAACGTCGAAACTTCCGATTGTTTTGATCGCTTGATTCCCAAATAATCAAAAATAATCGAGGCCATTTGGGTAGGATTCTCAATTATTTTCATCCCAAATCCGATTATAAGCAGTCCTAAACACGCCGCACGATCAAAAGGTTAGATTTAATAATATTTTCGAAAGTGGGTTATTTTTAAAATATTATTAAAAATAGGTTAAAAATTCTCTTCCAACCAATAAGAAGCCTAAGAATTGGACTGCCTGCTACGGCCCAGCAACGGCCCAGAAAATCAGTATTATCACCAGCCAGAAGTCAAGCCAATCTATCATAAACTCCGGCAAAATTGCCACGAGATATTGTAGGCCTGTGTGAAAAAAAATATTGCAATCATTCCTTCATGTCGGAACATTCTTTTCTTTTCATCATCATCAAGGAAACGTAACCAACATCGCCACATATACCTCCCCCCAAATGCATGCTAACAAATCTATTACATACACAGATGCTAATGCTCTGCCTACACTATTGTTTCACTTTTGAATGGCAGCTACCTGTTGCATATCCGGAAAAAAACATCTCTCTCTTTTACAAGAGCCATCTGGCACAGTAAACAACATTGCTGGATGGTTACTGGGGTCCTATTCTCCAATGGCAGCATGGATAGGGTACAGGTGTTGTATGGTCAATGCTTTAGAGGTTGGATGTGTGGTTCAGGTTCAGCAGGGAATAGATCAAGAAGGACCCTGTGGATCATCTCGAAGCTTGTGAAAGTTATCACTGCGGCAGGGGTCGTCCGCAACAGATTTGTGGCACATCCACGGTAGAAGCCAGCCACACCCTCTTTATGATAAACCTTTCTGATGCAGTCTATTACACCTTTGTATCTAGCATCAGAGTGTGCTCGCTGGTCTTGCAGCCTTGATCGAACAACCTGTAATAATTATCAGAGCAATGAAGTCCGAGATGATATAATAGCAGCCAAACAATGTACATAGGATATTGTTCTTCCTTGGATCTGTATATTACTAGAGGATCACAAATGTAAAAGGACTAAGTACCTCATGAGGATATGTCAATGTTGATGCAGCTACTTTAGCCAGAGACGAAGCAACAGCGACATCACCAAAACTCAATGCTTCTACAGTAGTATTATCTGTCAAGGCACAGGCAGTCATTGGTTCAAACCAAGTCACTCAAGCTGGTCATCATAAAGCATTTACCTTGAAAATTAAGAAAACCAACAGTAATACCTCGCTCAGCCAGATAAGCTTTTATCTTCTCGTATGCAGGGAACTGAATAGCAACATGACTGATACCAGCCAAGGCAGGGACCAGACCACTTTTGAAAAGAAAATAGCAGCAAGCATATCAGAACATATAATCATCAAGAAATAAAGCTTTTAAAAAAAAGCATTCCATGTGATGCTACCTGTATAGTCCTCGGATGCCTTCTTCATGTGCTATTCTTCTCAAGGCAGCAAGTGTACCTTTATACGGGATTGACCCGGCTCTTATTCCTTGGGTCTATAAAAAGGAACATATTGCTGTGTTAACAGGGTTTCCGTATGTCATCAACTTCTACATATACTACGCGTCGTAACAAAGTAGGGCAAGAAAGACAGATTTTTTTTATAAAAAAAATATTGGCTCCTGATGGAACATCCACATATGCCACTCTACATTTAAAATTATATAGGCATTGGATAGGAGTCTGTTTCAATATTAATCCTCAGATCTTAAATACCCAAGACACTTCCATTGTTTCCGTTTAGCAAAATATATGGAGGTTTAGCAAAATATATGGAGGTTTGCAAAAGTGTATGTAGGTTTCCATGAACCCAGCAGGCCATAAGCCATATCTTGGGTCAAGGGGGTTCCATTTCAGATTGGACTTATTCGGCAAGTGTACAACCTACAGTAAACATCATATAGCGAATAGAATCCCAAGAGAGTTTCGAATAATTACCTATTAATTAACACTTACACAGAAAACTTTCTACATTAGATTATGCTCTCGGAGCTAGCATACCTGAAATCTTGTCTTCACAACCCAAAGTGGATTTGTTACAATAGTTGTTGCAGCTCCAGCACATGATGCAGCAACAACATTTGCCCCTAAAGAAAGTTGATGACTTCCATCTACAAAATCAATGTGTGATACCACTTAGAATTTATGCTGGAAAGAAGGGTAGACCCAGTGCCGGAGGCTCCCACATGAGTGGGGTCTGGGGAAGGGAAAAACCGAGGCAAGCCTTCCCCCCGCAAAATCCGCGGAGAGGCTGCTTCGAACCCACGACCTGGTGACTTAGTGAGACAGCTCACACCACTGCACCAGGCCTGCCCTACATATTACTTATTATGCTGGAAAGAACTAATAAGTAATATGTAGGGTAAAGAACTAACCATTGGAAGAAAGTAAGCTTTTAAGTTGCTCATAGACAGTAAAGTAGACCTGCATACCACAAGAGAACAATAAGCTAATAGAAGAACATAGGCATCTGACTGATTTTCTAGTTGGCACAGATGGAGTGCAGAAAAATCTTTGCAAAGGTCTAATTGTTATTTGTACTCTTTTGTGCAGAAACCTTTGCATGCATCTATGGTAAGTAAAGCAGACAATATAGGGAATACTCACCGCCCAGTTTGGCAAGAGCGCAAGAACAGTTGGGGAGAGGCCACGATACATTCCCCGAAAACCTTCCCGTTGAGCAATCTGTTGTAAGCTCCCAATAATTACACTACCTAGTATTGATTGACACAACACACAATAAATCTCAACGTTCAAAGACAATTAATGTAATACCTCGAAAGATTTCCTGATACAACTATAAAACAATTCTAGTGCAGAACACAGATGTAGCATAAATAATGAGCTAAGCATCACAAGTTCGGTAGTAACAAGCAACACAAAGCACATATGTATGCGATAATCTGCCAGCGTGAGAACAATTGTGCTCATAGCACCCATGGTTACATTCTAGCAGTTTAAACTTTTTTGCATTCACAATATGCTCGTTGGGTATTAGTAACACATAATATAATATCAGCAGAACTCTATGTAATCTCAAAAACACCAGGCTTGGAATATCAGTTAATACTATATTTTACATGTATAACCAAAGAACTAACTCCATATATGGCAATCAAGAAATTCATAACGGAAAATGACAATAGACATATCGTTCCCAGAGACAAACTTACAGTTTTGTGCGCATTGTTTGAAACTTCATCAAATTTGGTAGTAACAACTAACAAGCAACACAAAGCGAATATGTATGCGATAATCTGCCAGCATGAGAACATTCTGGAAGTTTTAAACTTTTTGCATTCATGATATGCCTGTTGGGTATTGGTTGTACATAACATAATACAAGCAAAACTCAATATAAATCTCAAAAATACCAGACTAGGAAATATTAGGTATACTCTATTTTATTGTACATGTATAACCAAAGAACAAACTCCATATAAGGCAAACAAGACATTCATAATGGAAAATGACAATAGACATATCGTGCCCACAGACACTTAGTCTTGTGTGCATTCTTTGAAACTTCAAATATTTGTCTGATCTCTGACTTTCCACGTGCATAAGCATAAACGAACAAGTGCAACCCCTGTTACTGAGAGTTTGCGTGCTTTTTCCACTCTCGGACATGCATGGCATTGTAAATTCACAACGACAGCACAACACGCGTGATGCCTCCCCTTGTCGCATTCCCATGGAAGCACTGATACTTCAAGTCATGCAGGGAGCTAAGAAATGACCGTTAGACAACTACACAACCAACCAATAGTAAGCCTTAAGGATAAGACATCCATCCAAAAAAAAATGATTCGAACTGTTACAAAACCTAAATGTGGATCCTCAGTTACCAAAAGATTCTCTTACAATTCCCTGAATCTTGGATGGTCCAGGTCACCAAGAGACACCACAAGCGTAAACTTAAGCAGTCTCCCCATACTAAAGCAGATTTTCTCTAACCTCTCTGAATCTCAAATTGTCAACATAACATCACAAGACCAAACCAAGCACAACATTCACACAGGTTGACTAAAATGTGCCCCCCTCTTCCCATGCAAATATTTCATTCTTCCAAGCCTATGCACCTCTCCTCAGCACAATTCAACAACACCAGGGAAAGCTCGCTATTCCAGACAGGTTTGCATGTGTCTCTAACTCAAGAGCAACAAACTGAATCAAAATTCGCAAGGAATCGTTGGAGCAAGTCCTCACCTCCAATCGTGCCTGTGGCAAGCTTGGGCCAGCCGTGTACCTGGAACCTGGTCTTGATGACATCGAGCGGGCACACGAAGGTCGCCGCCACCACACCTGCGGCCAAACCCCAAATCACCTCCAAAGCCCCCGAAACATTGAAACCACAGGCCGAAATGCATATAGGGTAGTTCCAGCGCAAAAGCTACCACACTTACCAGCGGAGGCGCCGGCGACGGCGTGGCAGAGGAGGCCGCGGGCGGTGGTGGGGCCGTGATGGTGGTCGTTCTGCGACGACGAGGACACGGACGGCGGCGCCGGCGCCGGCGAGGTCGCGACGTCCCCCGGCATCTCGCTCCAGCCGCCGCCACCCCCCCCCCCCGATCCGCGCGTCGCCGCTGCGGCCACCGGCCAGGGGATTTTGGGCAGGGAGCCCCCCCTTTCCAACGCTTCCTTGCGCGACGAGAGAATCACGGACGCGGCAAACAGGGCGTCAGCGGGCGTCGGCGCCCGATCGCGCGCGTCACCGGCGGCGGGCCCGCAGACGGTCGACTAGGGTTAGGGTTTGGGATCTGATGAGGCGGAAGCGGTGGGCATTGGGAGTTTGGGACGGGGCTGGGTCTATGTAAGAAGGCTTCTTCGTTTCCGTCGTCACGGCATCCTTCTGCCACGCTTCGCCTGAGCTTCTTCTCGTGCGCTCGCTCGGACTCGGAAGCCTCGGAGGCGAGGGAACCGTGTACGTGGGCCCGTGCAGGGAGGTAACGTCACACTGGGTTGCGGGTCCGCGATTTTGGTGAGCCTATTGTCAGTGGCCTGTGTGGTGGCAACCGCAGAGCCCGCGCTACCTTCGCCGGCGTGCACGCGCTGCAGGAACGCCGGGGCCCTGCAGATCAGGGACCGGTGACCCACTGTCATTGAGATGTCTGTCTACTCGTTTCGTGCGCCGTGTGCAGCTGTGTTGTGTAAACGGAGCCAAGAAGCTGGAGTAGTAGCTCGCAGCCGTGTCACTCTGCCATGCGGTCCCACCCAGCCCATGAGATGAGGTGGCCCAGCAGCGGGAGTAGTAGGCCACGTGGTCCATGGCGATGTCTGGTCGCCGCTTACCGGTGACGTGGTGGACCATGGGCCGTTCAGGACGGAGCTATGGAATTAAATTGGCGGCCGAGATGGGGCCCGGGGAGGGAGGCGGGGACTACGGCGCCGCGGGATGGAACGCTCGGTTGTCTTGGTCGCTGCTGATCCGGAACCGGAACGATAGACTTCTCCACCCACCTGAGCGATGGGAAAGGATAAGAAGCAATTTCGGCCTTCCTCGACCCCTTGCTGGTGGGATTTCACAACGTCTTCTACCATGTGTCTACTCCGACATGAGGTCGCGCAGCACGATCGACTATTACGCGTCCAACCAGGGTGCCGTCTTCGACGATTTCGTGGCGGCGATGACCAAGCTCGGGAGGATCGGGGTCAACACGCCGGCCACCGACGGCGAGATACGCCGGGACTGCCGGTTCCAGAACTAGTTGCTAGTTAATCTCGCCGGCAGTGCTTTTAATATGTGCTTGAGTAAAATGATCATTTGGATTAATGTTTCCATGTAAGAAAACAAGCAGATAACAATTTAAATCATAAAAACTCAACCAACCAAATTTGTCGCTATATATATGTATGTCTAGTGCACAAAAAACACACAAATAAATTTGTATTTCATGTGTCTTTTAATCAGACATTTGTTTTCGCTATAATTAATAATACATTGTAAGAAAATTAACAATTAAAGTATATAAATAATAATACAATGTAAGATAAATTAACGGCTAAAGTATATAAATAATAATACAATGTAAGATACAATGTAAGATAAATTCACCTCAAATGAGGGTTGAATTATGTGAGGCGTCCATGGCGCTGTGAGGGCACCGCCGTGCGTGTACGGGGAGGGCTGCGGCGCTGGTCGTCGCAGCAGCGCAGGGCGTGGGAGGAGGGACGGGTGGCTCATGGGGATATTTATCTGTTCTGCCCGTCATGCGTCAGGCCAGCGTCGATGCCGCGCCAAGATCGGTGGGCGCGGCGAGACCACTACTAAATCCAGTGCTCATGACCGGTCGTTGCCACGTCACCCCTCTCGCCGCGCCACCATGCATGGCGCGGCACAGGCTTTTCGCCGCGCCATGGCAATAGGCACGGCAAAAAGTGTTAGTTTTGGGGAAAAAAATAAAACAGTGTTAGATTTAAAATTAGTTTTAAAAAGTGTTAAAAAAAATTCTCACACACAAACTCTACCAGACACCGGTACGGTCCTATCTGGATGCAAACTATTTTTAAGTATCCTAGAAATATTATGTTATTATAAAATACTTTAGTTTTTAAAAGCTGTTTGGTGTTTGGATGCAAAGTCTCTAAAACCACCATGGTTTTATTAAAACTGTAGTTTTTTTTGAGTTTTAGAAACTCTACTTATGACCTCTTTTTTCTAAACCACTATTTTATGTGTTTTTTATTTATAAAACCATAGTTTAATGATACTACCATTTTCAAAAACCACATCGTCCAAACAGACCCTACGTCTGTGCCATCTAATTTGACTGGACAACTATACGTAAGTGACGCAAGTGCAATTCCTTTTCCAAAAAAAAAAATCTGCAATTCCTTTTCCCAAAAAAAGAAAGCAAGTGCAATTCCGTGCTGTGTAGCCTAGTTTTTGAAAATTAGGCATGAATGCGGTTTCTTCAAATTTAATACTTCGACAGTTATTAGTGATTAAAGATGTACTCAGGGGCGGGCCCAGCGGGTAGTCCGGGTAGGCCCGGGACTACCCTGAAATTTGGCCCAAAATGTTTTTAGTACTCTGCGCAGCCCACGAGAATTTGGCCCATTCGTCATCTCTCCCAATCTGCGCACTCTCGACCGTGAGCCCGCAGCCTGCCTCAAGCGTCTCCCTTCCTTCCGACGCGTCGCTGACGAGATGGCAAATCTTCCTTCCGGTTCCCGACCCCGGCCCACCCCAGCCCCCACCACTGCCCACCCTAAATTGTCGTGGTGGTCGCCGTCCTCCCCACATGCCGCGCGCCTGGCAGCGGCCTCCCGACTCGACCGCCCAAATGACCCCACCCCCCCCCCCACGGGCGAAGCGACGGGCCAGCCGCCACTCCGCCATATCTCGACGAAGCGGCGCACTAACGCCGATCGGCCGGAATGGTCGAGCTGGCTGCTCAGGCAGCATGACATCCACCCATCCTCTGGTGGCCTCTGTTTGGCCTGGATGCCGACGCATGGTGAGTTTCTCCGCTGCGGCACTGCTTTCTCCCCTATTGTTTTATGCAGTTAAGCCTTAGGGTTTGGATATTGGAGATTTGAGATTGGACTGTAAAGGCTTAGGAATTGTGGATCTATCATCTATAAGCCTAGAATTGAATCAAATTTGTTATCATTTTTTAGGAAGTTGAGGTATGAAGAAATCAAACACACATGCTATGATTCTAACTTTAGAGTCATTTGAATTAGTTTTCAATGCAATGAGAAAGCGCAAAGCAAAACCTTGAACTAGAACTACTATTGTAGTCTCTTATTTATGTAAGGCCTTATCTTATCTATGTATGATCTATTTGTGCAAGTTTTGAACCTATTTATGTAAGTTTCGAACTTTTTAAATGTATTATCGCAATTTAGTTAATCTATAGCCATTTTACTGAAGTTTTCCTTTGGATTTTATCGTATTGCATATGAATTTTTTTTTACTAGGACTACCCTGATTCAAAATCCTGGACCCGCCACTGGATGTACTCCAATTGTGTGGAAATTACTATGTGCTTTAGAATATATCATTCTCAAAGACTTAAATTTCATTTAGATGTAGTGGACTCTATATTCACCGTCATTCCATGGCAAAACAGAGTTGACTCCTATATTGGCTGCCCCGATCAATCACTCCATACTTGCAACCAGGAGTGAGTCTGATATTCACAAGCAAGAAGCAAGATTGCAACATATAACAACAAATTCGATGCTTAGAGCAACTTCAATAGAGTTGATAAAAATAGATGGCTAAACTCATGATTTAGCCAACCTCTAAAACAAAAACCTCAGTCAAAAAATAGAAAACTCCAATAGTCTTTCCAATAGTGAGGCGAATGGCTAGCGGCACATGCAAGCTATATCTAGCATGCGAGAATTTCAGGATAGATAACTTACTATTTGTAGATACAATAGCTGTTAGACTCTCGCTTTTTTTCTAAAATAGTCAAATATAGATTACACAACATGTATAGCTCTTTTGTTGAAGTTGCTCATAGACGCAAAGACGGAGAAATAATTAAAAATAATGATGAAAGGAAGGTGCAACATGCAACCTCTCTTTTCTAAAGATTCCCTGACGCTCCACTTTTCTGCATCTTTTATATTGCTGGTCTTGGTAATGCCACGATGGATGGAAGGCGACAGTGCGTATAACTCAATTATTATTACTTGTCTCTATCTCAAATTAACAAATCGACATTGTCTTTATAAGCTGAGATCACTCGGCCTTTTATAGAAAAATTCCGGTTTCTAAGGGCCACTGGCCAGATTATCCGAATTAGCAACTCATGAGCAGCCAAAGGGGAGCAAAAAATTGTGCCTGAAACTGTAAATAAGCTGCAAATTAAACGGGCCTAAATAGGGCTTCAATAATTAAAAATAAGACCTAACCTAGGAGAGACCAAATCCGTTTTTTTAATATAATAATTAATTAAGAAGAAAACAGGTTTAAATGAGCGCAGGTTGTAAGACCAAACCTAAGCAGAACTAGGCAGTTAATTAAAAAAAGAAAAATAAGCACCCAAATCCGAGTTTAAGAGGACTTGACTCAAATAAGTCGTTAGGATATGCGTCTACATCTCCCACCCACCCCAACCTATTAAGCTAAGTTCACTTCCAATAATACGGAAACAATCCTCTGACTTTCTTGCCCCATGCACTGAACGTGAAATTTGCATATCCAGCATGAGTCCGCATGAGTTCTCAAATCAAGGTTTCTACTCTCTTTTTTTTCGTCTGCTCCTACATTAACCTGAAATCTTCTTTAACAGAAATAAGAGACCCACTTGTCATTCTCTGTTTCTCATCCTCAATCTCATTGACAGAGCTGCTCTCTGTTCCCCTCCTCAATCCATACGGATGCCAAGCTCCCTCGCCGGAGCCGCCCTACCGATCCCTTTACCTTCAAGTTCCATTGAGTGGCCCTTCCTGGACGAGTGGTGCGGAAGTGCAGCAGGCGCGGACGGAAAAGCAAAGCAGGAGAGGAACCGTCGTCCCTGTAGGATGGGGGCCTAAAAGTGAGCCCCCAAGAATGAAGAATGAAGGCCGAAGGGATGATT